CAGGGACTCCGGTTGAGCATAGTAAGTGATACCCAGTTGACACCTGTATTTACGCCTATGGGGCATGAACATCTGAGAGGCCCCTGAGATACCGATGCAGTTTAGTTTAGTTTTTGACGGTTCCAATTTGATACCCGCATACCATGAGCTTTGATCAATGCACTTTGAGCTGCTGATGGGGAGCTTTCGCTGGCATGGCCCACTAAGATCCAAGACACCGCACCAATGGAAAGTCCCTGAACACAAACGGCTCCTGAACCTTTGCTGAAGCAAACTAGCATGGTTTTGGCAAGTACTCAGGGTTCGCCAATGCTTTGCTGTGTGGCAGAAGTGCTCCCTGCCTACTTCATCACCCCTCATGGGGCGAGGCTCACGAGGTTCTCTCGTAATCAGCAATCCGGCTTGTAGGACCGTGCTCATCGAGCTGGTCCCAATCCGTTCTCTCGAATTCCACCGGAGCATGGAGCACGAGGCAGCCCTTTTGTAGGCGCCAAGTGTCCAAATCCGGCTCGCGCAAGAGTGCATGGAGGTCTGCCTGTCCGCCACAACTTCGTCTGATCATCCTTTCGGCCATGTCGGAAGAGATTCAACACGTTTGAGTTTGAGACTTTCCTTATTTTTCCAGAACTTGCTTGCACACCGACGGTTGCTTCAGTCTCTTATAAATTGCAGACATGCGGGCCGCGGTTGGCTCTCCGCTTGTGAGAGATGGCATCGTCATCGAATGAAGCGGAGCATATTTAAAAGATGCGAAAAGTTCATGCAGGCCGGAAATTTCAGGAGACAGCTCGCCTGCAAGATGCATCGCTGGATGCTGTTTTTGCATAGACCAGTTCTGAACCTCAGCTTGGACTATTAAACCCTCACTCCATCTTAGATCAAGCCTTCGTCCCGATGAGCCCATGCTTTCCCTTGGAACCATCGTGCAGGGTGCTTCGGCTAAACCTGTTGAGAGGACTGGCACGTAGAGACGTAAAGTAGTAGGGGACATCGAGAAAGCTCTGCAGAAAAACACTGAGTCATGCGGGCAATGCCGGGTACTTGTTGGTACTCTGCTCTGCAGACTGATGACAGTGCAGGAAAGTGCTAGCGTTGCCTGGTCTTCCGGAATCATGCTGAGTAGCACCGGGTAGTTCCCAGTGGGCTATTTAGTTGCCGCGTAGATGTTGGCTTGTCACGACTCGGCCAAACAACTCTGAAGAACTGTATGCGTCGACTTTTTGCCGTCATTGCATCTTTGTGCCAGAATGCAGACTGGGTTTTCGGTTTGGCATGTTGAGAGGCTTGCGTTCTTTAATTCTTGCAGTACACTCTTTCCACTTTTGTCGTCGAACCAACGAATGTGACCCATTGTTACTGTCGCTGTACTTGCTCTTCAAACGCCTGTTCCGACTTTCTCGCGACTCCGCGGTGCCTGGCTCCATCACTTTGGGAGCCTGAGCCGTACGATGCCGGGCCTTGGCGTCTGCATTTTGGGCATTTTGGCTTTCTGATCTTTCTGTGCGAGTACCTTCTGATCATAATCACAGTTCCAGCATGAGCCGTTGCTTTGGTAGTAGGTGCAGTGCAGGGACATGGCAGGCAACCTGCTTGCTCCCTTCCTGGGACATTCCTCTCTCTGTCCTGTCCGGTCCTGTCCTTGCAGGCACTCTTGAGAAATGGAACTTCAAATTCTCTACGTTCCACTGAGCTCCACACCCGGTACCGTGATCGGCGTCGGAGCTGCTGCTTAGCAGCACCTGAGAGTGGCTCATATCATCAGCATACTGACAATGCCCTCACGGTCTTCCCAGCTGTGTCTATGTAGAGGAAGTACATGTCAGCGTCGCCCGCTGCTGCGAGTTCTGTCAAGGAAGACTACCCGATCGATAAGGTTGGCACCAGCACGGAGTTGTCTTTGTCCGCGCACGCGCCTGGGTAGGCGGTAGTATGGTGTCAGTCGCCGGAAGAATTCCGGCCATGCCCTTCGCACTTGGAGAAGTTTTCGCTACGTGTCTCGGCGCCGGACTCTGCACAGCCGGAAAATTTCTCGGATAGTACCATTGCCCTTTAAACCTGCATGGCACAGAGTAACACAGGGTAGTCGTTCACAGGCTGACCTAGCTTAGGTCTTCAGGTCCCATGCTCAAGAACAAAACATCTCCTGTTGGCCACAGAGCAAACACTCGTCCTCTGTGAGATGCTGCAAGTAGCGTAAGGCCGGCACTGCATCGTCGAATCCCTGAATTGAATTGTTGGCCTGCCAGAGGCAAGTTGCACTAACCGGCGGAGGGCCGCGGTGTGCCCTCGCCTGGGAGTCGCGAGGCGCCGCACGATTACCAGGTCATTCAGCTCGGAAGTGTCTAAGGCCTCGCGTGTCACTCTCAGTCAGGCAATCACCGCATGAAAGGCTGAAACTTTGGGATGACATGATAGCAACATGGCCATTGCTTGAAAAAGGCTGACTTTACTCTATGCTCGTGATATCGATGAGTTCATTTCAAAGCGTAAGCGTTTCGAGGCAGCTGTGCGCTGTGTGTCCAACTCCCCGTTATCCAAGAATCTGCTTGCAAGAGGCCAGAAGTCCTTCACCAGGGCGCAGACTCCTGCGAGCACATCTCGGCCCTGAAGCGTGCCTCGCATCTCTCGATGTGTTGTTGAGGCCTTCTACCTAATGCGAAGCTTGAGTCAATGGAGGAGCAGCACCGTCCAAATCGAAGAGATCAGAGAATGCATTATTGCGCCATGCGCTCAGCAGCAGGGAAATCAGAAGCAGCACTCGAAGCCACGTCACCATGCTTGCGAGACGCCGGCAGGTTATCGGACGCCCACGGCTCGAAAGTTTTAACCACTGCGAACACCGATGCGAAAGCCGAAGGGACGTCAGTGATTCCTTTTGAGACCACTCACCAAGTCCGAAAGCAGCTCCTGTGCCCTCCCGCTTTCCAACTTGCTCGCTCCTGCTCTCGATGCCACCCAGCTCTGCAAGGAAGCCGAGGCGTCCCCAAAAAGCTTCCTCAGCAGCTTTCGCTGATCACCGCCCGGGCAACTTCGATGGTCGAGAAGCAGGCTGCGGACTGCGGAGATGACGGTGCTTTCTCATATCTCAACTTTTCCCTAGCCGTGGCAACCGAGACCCTTGCTGGCTGCCAGATGCTTGCATCGTTGGACCGACCGTACAACACCTGGATCTTGAGGGGCTGCGCAACAGAGATAGCAACCGGAAGAAGACTGCATGAAGCAAAGCATAGTTCCTATGCCACAAGCAGGATCCAACTCTCGTCGACAGTGAGTGCCAGGCTAGCTTGTCCGCTTCTCCTCCCAGCCTGGCAGAAAAGACCAGTCCATGAGCTGCTTCTACGGCTGTCTGGGCCATGCTCCTATGGGAGAGGCTACATGAATCCATGCTGCAAGCCGCCCATCCAGAAGCTCCAAGCCCATGCAAGTGCGAGTCGGGCAACTCCAAGACAAGGCGAGACCGCAGCTGTTGGTCCGTGAAGTTGGCAGACCTGAAAGCTGGCGCTTATTGACTTGATTCAAACCGGTAAGGTGATTTTCCACGTACACTTCTTCGCAGAGTGTCAGGTGCGACAAGCTTCAAGGCTTCGTATCTTATGCTCGATGTGTACTCAGCGACATCGACACATATCGAGACCATGCATACATGTACGCAAGGCAGATGTTTCCGCTTCTGGGCTCAGCTGGGTCGTACACGAACACCCGCTACAGATACCTCTGGCTTCTGACTCTGCGTCAGCGGCTCCGGCGGGCAGTCAGCAAGGCCCGAGCGAGCTGCCCTCGAAGAAGGTGAAGAACTGCAGCGAGCTGTCCTGACGAGGCAGTTGACTGCACAAGAAAGCGCACATAAGCGCACAAGCAAGGCGGCACCTGACCCATGCATCAAGCCCCGCATGCCTTTTGAACACCGATCAACCCAACCTGCTCTCGTTGCTCCACTCAATCCGAGCGGATCTGATGCCTGGATGGGAACAGCGCCCAGCTTGCAGTGCACCACCGCCTTTGCTCCAAACTTGTGACTCTGCCTTGCATGTTTCGAGACCTGCTGAAGACTATGCTGCACCGCGCATGAAGACTTCTCTTCCGAGTCTCGAAAGAGGCTTCGGAGTCTAAGGCGCCGGCCGACTCTATGAGGGCCACAGCGCTGCAACCCTGGCAAACCACGACCGAACGTCGGCAGAGAGGGCGTCGGGCAGTCGGGCAAGCGTAACAAAAAGAGACTTGCATCGAGCGCTTTTGATCCAGTTTAGGCCGATGTGCCGGGGTTTGAAGGTTTGAGTGCAGAGTCACTGCGAAGCGAGCTTGCAAGATTTTGTGGCGATGCCACCAGGGCGAGGGAGCAGCCAAGGCCAAATCGACATGCGCTTACCTGGCTAAGCACATGTAAGCACCTCCACAGAACTCTTCAACAGCCAATGCTAATCGACACAAACTGGAGGTGCAGTACAGGCACTAGGCCACCAGGCCGAAGAGCATGTCGGAAAGACATGGCTGATTCCCTGACGCTCCTTACCGCTAGAGTCGACTAGAGTTCCAGCATGAGCCTTTGGCTGAAAAGCAAAAGGAAGAGCGCAAGGGCGCAAGATCAAAGATCTGTCGAGCTTGCTCTTGACCACTTCAGAAACTCGTCCACGCTGCTCTTCCAAGGAGACGAGTAAGAGATTACAACTCCAGCGTGGCGGCCGTGCAAACATTCAACATATGCGTCGGACATGTGGCTGTAGCAAGACTTATGCACTACACCCAACAGAGAACTGAGGATTGTAGCTGACCAAGGCCGAGTATGTGACCTCGCCATTTGTCTGCTTAGGTGATGCAGGCATCAGGCCCGCACTCCGCATGTGCTGCGACTTGCCACTTCGTCAAGTCTGCCCACACAGGGATGGAAAACACCGCATGTAATGATGTGGACAGACCGAACAGTACCTAGTTCAGCCTTCTGTACAAGCGAGGGAGGACGATGGCGATGACATCCAGAAAATTTGCGTCCGAGCTTTCCTATCCTAGTCGACAGGCATCACAGCACCACAGCGCCAGCAGAAGGCTGCATCCTTCCGATGCGGGGTCGCGTTGCACGAAGGGCACTGGCGGCCCGAACTCTCCGGAGATTCCTGGGCGAAGACTCTACGATTTTTGAGCCCAGCTAGGGCCTTAGCTTGTGCTGCAGCGGCTTCAGGGGCTGCTGTTCTTAAGTTCGGACATCCAGCTTAACGACTGATGCTTGTTGCTGTGCTCGAGCTGTTTGACGTAGCTACTACCCAAAGATGATGATACTGGAGGCAATCGCAGGAGTACAAAACAGCTGTAGATGAGCCCGAGCTCCTTCGCAAATCTTCAAACGGGGCTCCTGGATGCTCTGGAAGCGGATGCCCTGCCGATCGAAGCTCGCAGTAGCCATGAAGACCTGTGAGATGGTAGTGGTGAAACTCTCCTTAACGTTGGGAGGCCCTGCTAACTACACGCACAGCCGCGGCCTCTGCCAGCTTGCTCAGCTGATAGGGGATGATCCCGACTCCTTGCACTTCGGATGTAAGTTAAGACGCAACGCGGGCACAAGAGCCCCTTACAATACCTGGCTGCGGAAGTGCGCATGACTTGGAAACTGCCTTGAAGATTTTCAGGATTGTACAGAAACGCTCCCAACAAAAAACTCCTGCCAAGATGGATGCAGCCACTACCAGGCGACCTGGCGAGTTGCCCTCTCTCTCTCCCTCTCCAGGCTGCAAGCTGCAAGAACTCTAAAGCCATGACTCTGAAGAGTACTAGTAACATGTTCTTCTCCCGATGGTTGGGGCCCAGCCTTGGGCGGTGATTGGCGTAATGTCGCCAAAGCCCACAGTTGTCAAGGTGGTCAAGCCGAAGTACAAGGCAGTGAAGAAGTCCTTCCAGGCAGAAGGGGGGGTTTTCGGCAGGCAGAAGACTTACGCGTTAGTTCATGAGATTGACGTCGAGGTCACGAGCTCGGCATGTGATCGTCATTTACATGAAAAATCCACGCTCCGGAAACTGCGGGTTCACGTCGTGCTCCGCGGCATAAATCGCCCCTTGCACCAGTATGCTTGGGTGCGGGTTTTCTACACAGAGTTGATTCAACAGAGCCTAGCCAAATCTAACCCTGGCTCCCCACCAAGATGCTGCAGCAATCAGATCATCTACCCACTACTGCCCTTTCACCTGTCGCAGTGTAGAGCAGAGTGAAAATGGAAAGGAGGACTCGAGTCACCTTGGTCTCGGGCTCAGGCTGTAGACCTACACCATTCCTACACCGTCCAACCGCGCCTACACCACCATGAGAAACAGCTCGTGGGCAGGGTCACCATGGCCGTCTTGCCAAACCCAGCCGAGCCACTTCCAGCTGAACTGGCGTGACGTACTTCGGGTCGATCCCCAGCCCTGCAGTCAAGCAGATTATGGCTTATGGGAACAAACTGCCAAGCACAATTCCACGTTGATGGAAAAATTGTCCCTCCGGCAGCAATCCTGTTCGCATGGTCCGGAGCCCTGCCCACGCCTTTGGATGCCAGTGTCAAAAAGCCATCGTAGTCTTGAAGAAACCGCTGGAGGCGAAAGACGCGAAGCAACCTGGGCTGACCAAATTGATGCTTTCTGCCTTCTGGAGCCTTCCGGCATTCCTGAAATCCAGCCCAGAAGCCTGACACCAGCAATGACTGCTGCCATGGTGTCTGAGCCGTGGCGGATTCAAACTCAAACGACTCTTTGGTGTGACATGACTGAAATATGCGGGAACCCGCATGAGGGAATCGGCTGCGGTGTGTGTGTGTGTGTGTGTGTGTGTGTGTGTGTGTGTGTGTGTGTGCGTGTGTGTGTGTGTGTGTGCGTGTGTGGGTGTGTGTGGGTGTGTGTGTGTGTGTGTGTGTGTGTGTGTGTGTGTGTGTGTGTGTGTGTGTGTGTGTGTGTGTGTGTGTGTGTGTGTGTGTGTGTGTGTGTGTGTGTGTGTGTGTGTGTGTGTGTGTGTGTGTGTGTGTGTGTGTGTGTGTGTGTGTGTGTGTGTGTGTGTGTGTGTGTGTGTGTGTGGTGTGTGTGTGGTGTGTGTGTGTGTGTGTGTGTGTGTGTGTGTGTGTGTGTGTGTGTGTGGTGTGTGTGGTGTGTGTGGTGTGTGTGTGTGTGGTGTGTGTGTTGTGTGTGTGTGGGTGTGTGTGTGTGTGTGTGTGTGTGTGTGTGTGTGTGTGTGTGTGTGTGTGTGTGTGTGTGTGTGTGTGTGTGTGTGTGTGTGTGTGTGTGTGTGTGTGTGTGTGTGTGTGTGTGTGTGTGTGTGTGTGTGTGTGTGTGTGTGTGTGGTGTGTGTGGGTGTGTGTGTGTGTGTGCGTGAACACCTGTTTGCCAAGGTTTGCTGATATGCATTATTTTTGCAGGGGGGCAGTGAGCCTTCTATCATCCACTGCCCAACGAAGACGGTGATAGAAGTGCTGTGAAGCAATCTGGGACGCCAGATTGTGTACCTGCATTGGAATGGCACTGGGGCCAAGCCATAAACCCCATATGAGTGCAGTTTTGTTTAAGGCCAGAGGTAAAGCCTAAATCCTCTTAAAGTCCTACACCTCTGAATGATTCGACTGAAATTCTCGAGAGTTACATTAGTCCAGAGGGAGGATTGCACGAGTGTGCTCTAGACGGCTTTCGTCGATCGTGTCGTCTACGGTAGGGTAGCCTACTGCTTGGCCCTGATCGGCCCAGTCAAAATCACAGGACCCTGATCGGTCCAAGCCCTGATCGGCTTAAACCCAAAGCAAGACCTCTTGGTCTCTAAAACTCGAAAATGCTCTACGGAGCAATCATCTGTAGTTCAGGGCTTGATTGCCTAGTTGCAGACAGGACTGATGCCCTTTCGTTTCACAACAGCCGTCAGTCTGATCAAGCAACTGTTCTCCCCTGGACAACTGATTTCGCCATGGCCTCCTGGTCATCATGGTCTAACAGCGACTCCAGCAACAGCTGGGACAACAGACAGCAATGGAATCGATGGAGCAAAGAAGACAAATGGGACTCCAAATACTCTGAGAAATCGTGGGAACATGTAGCCAGCCCCACATATCAAACTTTCTCTTTGCCGTCTTCTTTTGTTTCTGACGAGCAGCACTACGACAAGACCCCTTTGGGCAAAGGTGCCCATGTGCTGCATAAGTTGGTTCAACCGACAGAGTTGATACAAATCATAAGCGTACTTTATGCTGAGGGTGCTGTGGCCAATAACTCACTGCTTCCTTGATGCGAAGGAAAACGATGCAATCTTACCTAAACTGACCCTTCGACGGCCTACCAACGCATTACACCGAAATACCATGAGGGAATGAACGCCGCCGTGTTGATTCAACTGCTTGCACGACACGAAGACAAAACCTATGGCATGCTAAGAACTATGAGGCTTCTGCTTTCGACTTCATCTGGCTAGCTTACGTGCAAGTGAAAGGTGACAAGACTGCCTCACGACATGACTGAACAATTACATGATAAAGTGCAAGGTCTCTGACGACGTAGCTAGACTACAGGCCAGCTGCTAGTGTGAACGATCTCTAGTTGTCCTACTGGTCTAATGATGTAGGTACATCTCTTGAGACACTACACCAGTGCAGTAAATCTAAATTTCTGCTTCCACTGCAAAGATACAGCTGAAAAGTCGGGAGCTGCAAGGGCCTGACTGTTGAACGGCAAACTACCTCGTAAAGAAAGCCACATCTGTCAGAAGATGCTACAGGTTTGTCGAAAGACGTTGCAGTTGCAGAAGCTTGAGTACAACAACTGTCGCAACACGACTGTGGCCAGGACCTGCTTGCTTCTGTTGAGAGCCTTCCTAAATGCACCAAAAGGCTACAGCGGAGGCTGGCAAAGCACTTCGTGGAGACACTCGGCGCACAGGTGGGCGACGCTGACATTTGTTAATCTTGGAGCAAGTGCACTTGTCAAACTACCGCTTCGAGATCGAAAGGGCATTTCTGCCCAGTTTCTTCTTCGTGGACTTGCCACAAGAACTGCAGGCATGCCCGGACCGACTGCTTCTCCGAAGCAGCATCACTATACACGAGGCTGAACCACCTGGGGTACTTCTCCCTAGGATAATGAGCTTTCCATCTGTTTGCCAATTTCAGCTCTTGGTTGATTCTCACCCCCGGAGCTTTCGGCACATGTATGCGCACTTCTGCCAACTGGATCTTCGCCCAGTTGATCTTCAAAGGTTCTTTCACTGAGCCCGAGTTGGTGGAGGCCGCAGCTGCACCCGCTTCGGAAGGGCTGCCAGCGGCGCAGTGGGAAGCAGGTGGAGCTGCAGAACCGCCCTCTGCATGCGCCGGCTTCTGCACGGCGCGCTTCTGCAGCTGCTTTCGACACTGTTGCACCTCTTCCGGTTCGAGGAAGTCTTCTGCGAGGTTCAGGTTGTGCTCGTCGCGTATCAGACATGGAAGCTCCGTCATTTCACTGGCATCTCTTCTTGCCAACATCTTTGCAAAATCGTCGTCAGATCCAGCTGGGAAAATGTGTTTCATCAGTGCAAGCGACACGCCTTTGACTGTGGTGGGCTTGGCTCCAGTGTAAGCGACTTTCAGCGAAGTGAAGAGCTTCTGCAGGTAGACCAGCGTGACGCCCCTGAAACCACACGAGGCTGCATGCTCCAGTAAAGTGGCGGGCATGGTCTCTGGGAACTCCAACACGATGCCTTTGAGCTTCTGGTCCTTCACTTTCCTCTGTGAAAGGTTCAAGGGGCTGCGCACTGAAACAACGCCGACACGCCAGTTGTTGAGACTGTGGATTAGAACTGTCTGCACAGCAGCCTTGTCCTCGATGCTCAAGGTGACGAAGTGCAGCATCTTGCGTGAAGGCCCTTTGAACTTGCAAGTTTGAATCGGCCAGCCAAGGACGCCCCAAGCTGTGGCCTTGAGCACCCAAATTACCCGCTCTGGTTGATCGGCATGCCAGATCACAGTGCCAGGCTGTGCAAGCAGAGACAGAAAACACGTTTTGAGCTTCTGCGGCTGGCCAACGCACAAGACAAGGGCTTTAGAAGCCAATCCGATCAAAGAATGGCCCTGCGGGGACAAGCTGACCCACGTATCTTCACACTGCAGCTCCAACAATGCATCTTTGCCCAAGCTGAACGCTTCCATCTGCGGAGGGGAGAAAACTTTCGGCGGGAGGGATTTGGGAGCTTGCAAGCCTGGAGGAACCTCGGGATGGCTGTAACCCTGACTCGTCAGCAACTTGCACTCTGCAAGTTCCTGCCACATAGCTACTTTGCCTGTGCTGCCAGACTTGGTGTGACGCTCCATGTCCGTCAACTTGTTGAAGGCTTCCTCTACAAGCTTTGTGTGAGCCATTGCAGAGAACAGTTTCGTCAACTGTTGCTTCAACTGGGCAGAAAGCGCCCAATCGTTCTCCACAAGTGTTGTCATGACGCTTCTTACTGTCACCAGGTTGGGCCAAGCAAGTGAATCTAGGAAGCTGCGAAAAAATGTATCCTCTCGGCATCGATCTTCTGCATCAAGCAATGCTTCCCAGACTTGCTTCAACCTTGTCAAAGCAACAGAGACCGCATCGCCAGAATCTTGCAGCAAAGACACACGGAGCATGGGCAGGGCATCTGTGTATTCCATCATGCTGAAGGCTCTGGCCGCGACGACTTCTCTTGCCAGCAGCAATGCCCTGGATGCCATCTCGTCCTGCTCAAGCACAAGGGATTCGTCTGCAGTCTCATCCTCATCGACGCAGTGCTGCTCAAATCCCATCCAGTCTAAGGCATCCACATCGGACAACTTCACAAAAACATCGCGGAAACAAATGTTGTACTTCGTGCCCGTGCTCCACTGCAACAGCACTTGCAGCTGCTCAGTCGGGCCTTTTTCCATCGTCTTCATGTCCTTCCCCATGCGGGCGCGGATCGGGTCACAAATCTCGAGCAGCATGTTGAACATGCGCCTGGTAGCATCGTTGGCCATGATGAGGGTCGACAGTTCCAAGCCATTGCGGCACTGGCCTCGCAGCAAGCGGATTTGATCATTGGAGTGCTTCACACTTCTGCTGCTGGAGCCCGAAGAAGAGCCAGCAGCTTTGCTGAGCGCCACCACGCCCTGAACTCCGAAGTCGTCGTGGGAAGAACCACCCAGAGGAGCATCGCTTAAGGAGTCCCACCACCCTGCCAGCCAACCATGGTGAAGCATGATGCAAAGGTGTGCTGCCCAAGAATGCCGGAAATCTTGCCCGCAGTCAAAGAAAGAAGCCCAACGTGCCCATTTGACTGTCGACCCTTTGCTCTGGAGAGCCTTGCTCGCCAGCACCATTTCCAGCACATGTAGCATGTGCTCGGAGTCACCAAATGCGATGTCCGCCTGAAGACCCCATTCTTTGCAAATGCTTTCATAACAGGACAAGAACCAGATGTTGTTGGA